CTGTGGGGTCCCCGAGCTGGAGTTCAAGTGCCTTAACATAAAGAGAGGACTGGAGAGCAGAGCTCCCCTTGGGTTCTGCAGAGTGGGTGCCCAGCACCATGCTGCTTCTGAAGGCTTTAGGCTGTGGTAAATAATGGAAAGAAAAACCAGTAAAACCTGTAAGCCCCTGGGTTTTGTGCCCTTCTGTGTTACAAAGGGAAGCAACTACCTTTTTTTTTTATGCATCAGGTGTTTTGCTAAGAATAAGTCAATAAAATACTTTCACCTATGTGAGCTCCAAGTTAAATATGTCTTTAAAAATGGACAAGAGCAGGAGAAGAACAATTGTGTATCTTTGCAGCGCTGAATGTGACCAGGTGTAAGGAGGGGCTTTTGCCTAGGAGCGGCCATTCCCCCTGTGATCTTTCCCTCCTTAACTGGCTCCTTTCACCCTTTCATTCCTGCACCTGCTCTCCCTCTGGCTTGCTCCTTTTACCCAGGAATTTTTTGGCTGCTTATTTCCCTTGAGTCTGACTTTCTGTGCAGGATACCAGCAGGTTTGTTCTCAACAGCCAACACTTCAAAAGGTTACAGGATGCCTGGGGGTAGCTCGTATATGTGGCAGCAGTTAAGATGTTGACCGAGATCCATAGTGTTTCTTTTTAGGAAGGCTCTTATTTCTAGAAGTGAATTATCAGTAACTTTCTGTCAACCAATTGTTGCATTTGTGTTATTCCAGCCACTGAGTACCACCTTGGCCTGCTGAAGGCAAAGCTTGCAAAATACAGAGCTCAGTTGCTAGAACCCTCCAAATCCTCAGCCGCTAAAGGAGAAGGCTTCGATGTGATGAAATCTGGAGATGCCCGGGTGGCGCTGATCGGTTTTCCCTCTGTGGGTAAGGTCAGTGAGTGTCTGCGTTAACCACGTGGCATGTGTGTTTCCAGGTTTGTGGATAGCGCAGTGGCTGTAAAGCAGATATTCACCTTCTCTTCGTCTTTTACCTTCTTGCCATGACTTAACAGAGAGTTAGAGCTAGGGGAGATGCTCCTTCTTGTGCGTGGTGCCCTGTGGTAACAGGCTGGTGCTGGGTCTTGCCCAGCTGCAGCACTGCTGAGAAAATAGGTGAGAGTACGGGAGTTACCGTTGTTGTACTGACTGTCCCGTCACTGCTTCAGTCCCTGTGCCTAGAACGCGGCTTCTAAAAGCTGAGGAACGCTTTGGTGTTGCTTGTTGTGCCAAACGTTTACCGGTGCTTCAATTTGTGATCATCTCTGGTGATGCTGATCTCTTGCCTTTCAGTCCACGTTCTTGAGTTTAATGACCTCAACTGCCAGCGAAGCTGCGTCTTACGAGTTCACAACCCTGACGTGTATCCCCGGGGTCATAGAAGTAAGTAGGAGTCTCCTCCCTTTGGCACAGTAATGGTAAGAAACCCAGCCGTGTAAATGTGTCCGTTCGCACCAGTTACGCTTGTGCTAGTGCTAAGAAGGAAGTAAGTAGGAGTCTCCTCCCTTTGGCACAGTAATGGTAAGAAACCCAGCCGTGTAAATGTGTCCGTTCGCACCAGTTACGCTTGTGCTAGCGTTAAGAAACAGCAATATCCGAAGGTCTCTGCTGACTTCTGCTTTAAACTTTTGGAGGTCTTGAGTGCTTGCGGTATCAGGTCTTCTGCAACCTGCAGTGCTGATTTAGCACTTCCGTCGGCTACATAACTCTTCAGGATTGACTGCCTGAGTGGGGTTTTGTATGCTGCTGTTCGACTGACCAGAGCAAGACGACAATTCTCAACTGAATTTTTTATAACCGCTATTGGCGCCATTGACCAGATGGCTGGAAACCTTGACAGATTTGTTTTTAATGAAGCTTTAAAAGAGGCAATCTGTACTGTGATCAATTTGGAAATAAAATACAACTGCTGTCCTTCAGGAGTTTTATTAGTGGTGGCCTGAGCATCCATCAGTAAAGCAAATGATAAAGGGCATCAAACTGAAAAGTGTCCAAGAGTAATGAGAAAATCTGGGTCAGAATTGAAAGTGGAATTAAATAATGAAAGTAACCATATTCGTGTTAAAACAAACACCAATATTGTAACGCATCCAAACGCAGCTGTGAGCTGCAGTCAGTTGCTAAAGCCGTTACTGAGGACTTCGCTGCAACAATAGCTTGAAAGCTAATGCCCCTGCAGGTCTGGTGAATGAAAGTCTCAGGTTATTTCTTGGTACTGTAAGACCTGCAACACATCTGAATAGTTCTGATCTGTCTCAGTAAGAGATGGTGGCACTTGCTTATTACAGTGCTTTCTTGTGAGACCAAGAAAGAAAGGGTTTTTTTCTTTCCTTTCCATTTCACCAGCTCAGGATAATGTTACTCTAGTACTGTGCTGTTTTCCTGGTGCTTTCTCAAACTGCAGTCTTGTGATGCTGTAGGAGGTCAGGACCTAACGTACCACGGTATCTGGTGTTGAATGCAGCTTTATAGGAAATTGTCTGGATGTTGCCTCGACAAAACAGAGCCGTCAGCTTTGTGCAAAGTTATCCTGCTCTGTCAGGGTCATTCCGTTCCACTCTTCAGCACATGCTTGGGGCTTTCGGGGCAGCTCAGGTGCCCTGCACGAGGCTTTCACCCTTCCATCCTTCTGTTTCCTTTTCAGTACAAAGGAGCCAATATTCAGCTGCTGGATCTGCCTGGAATCATCGAAGGAGCAGCACAAGGTTGGCTGATCTCTGTGTTCATGTAAAGTAGGGATTTGCCCTCAATCGCGTACCTGGGCATCTGAAATGTTAGCAGGTTTCCTGGGCCAATAGTTCCCACGTTGGCTTTCCAAATTTTAGAGTCCTTGATCTTATGTGAGGCACGATTCTTATCCCTGAGCCCACGTAAGGTTCTATATGTAGCAGAAAGATGCTTTTCTGGAGGTGGGAGCCAAAGCAAGCCAGTCACTTCTCACCTTCTTGCGTGAGTGTTATCTTGCTCATCTGTTTTCTGGTACAGAGGAAATCTAAAGAAAGATGCTAGAGAGGCGGAGGGGGAAATTACAGCTAAACAGTAACCTCTTTTGACTAATTTCCTGAGTTCCTGCCAGTCCTCCCATGACTCCTGATTCTGGGAAGAGGTGTTGGGGTTTGTCCCTCTGCTTCGTCATTGTCCTGGTTGGCTGGTCATGTCAGAAGATGCTTCAAGAAACTTTGGAAAACTTTCTAATGGTCTCTCCTTGGAGGAGCATGGCCTGGTTAATAAGGGGTCTCTCCTTTTTGACCACAAAGTGTATGTAACACCTCTGCACAGGGCCCTAGGACTGCTCTGGGTAAGCTGTCTCTGCTGCCTGGAGCTGTTACCACTGCACATGTCTGGGGTTGTCTGTCCTGCTGGCAGAGGTGTCGTTGCCACTCACAGAGTACGCGCAGCCGTACTCTGATAGCTTTACACACACTAGTTCGTGTAACCTGTAGTGGAGGACTAGCAGCAAAGAGGGGATTGTGTAAGGGCTTGTGCTGTAAGTAAGACAGTGTGGATGGACCAGATATACTCGCTCCAGCAGCTGACTACAGCCGGTACAGCACTGCAGGGTCTTTTTCCTTGCTTCCAAGCAGCTATGTGGGGCAGGAGTCCCTGTCTGTTGCAGAACTTGTAGCTGGTTTCTCTTGCTGACCTACGGCCATCTCTTCTCTTCCTAGGGAAGGGCAGAGGTCGGCAAGTGATAGCTGTGGCCAGGACAGCAGACGTTGTTATTATGATGCTGGATGCCACAAAGGGCGAAGTGCAGAGGTGAGCGTGTGCTTCTGGGTGTGTGGAGCTGCGGGGCGGTGGGCCACGTTCAGGTGTTCCCTTGTGCCCAGAAAACATGGCAGCTCCCTGAAGTGTTGTCCCATGCGTGTTGGGGAGCCAGTACTTAAGCTATTGAGCATGAGATGGAGGTTGTGCTCCATTAGAAGCGTGCTAGCTAACCAGCTTGGGCCTCTCAGCAGAAGGATCATTCCCACAGGACGGCTGTTCAGAGGCGGGGATGCCAACCTAGATTTCCACCACAGACTCTGTCCTGCATTAGCTGTGGTTTTTAGGTCGTAGTGAAAGCTTATGGCAAGGCTATGACTGTCATATCAATAGGATAATAAAAAAGGAAAGGTATGGGTGTTGCCTGACTGTGCTCAGTCTCACAGGTGCTAATGTGCAGTGTCCCTGCAGGGCTCTGCTGGAGAAAGAACTGGAATCTGTAGGAATCCGCCTGAACAAAAGCAAGCCAAATATCTACTTCAAGGTGAGGTTTCCTGGGCTGCTGCAAGCACAGCTTGTGTGTGGCTGCCTACTCAAAGCCGAGGTCACCATGTGCTGCCCCTCGTGTTGGACAGACTGAAGGGGAGTTGTGGATTTTACACTGTTCTTAATTTGCTTTATTGCCCCCTGCAGCCGAAGAAGGGTGGAGGTATCTCCTTCAACTCAACTGTCACGTTGACTCAGTGCTCCGAGAAATTGGTGCAACTCATCCTCCATGAATATAGTATCCTTTCCTAAAACGGGAGACCATTAAGCCATCGGCAGCTCGTGAGTCAAGGGGTACCTGCTGCGGCACAGCCTTGCTGTGTCTGTGGTGCTTGCTGGGTTGAGAACAGGCTTTCACAAGCAAGCTCAGCCCATTGGCTCACAGCAGTGTGTAGATGTGTTGGGATTTGAGCCTTGACAACATTCACCTCAGAAATCTTCAATGCTGAGGTCCTCTTCAGAGAGGATTGTTCCCCTGATGAGTTCATTGACGTGATTGTAGGCAACAGGGTCTACATGCCGTGCCTCTACGTGAGTATCTCAGAAACAGCCCGCCTTCTTCAGCACCGAGCATCTCCATTCTTTGCTGAAGGAAACACTGGGTCTTCCTGGTTCCTAAAGCAGTAACAATTTGGGGTTTGAGGTGGAACGCACAGCTCAACAGGGAGCTTTTTATAAGCTGTACTTGTGCGGCTGTGCTCTGTGTGCGTTCCCTGTGCCCTCTTGTGGCTGGCTGCCGTGGAGCAGCATGAGCTGCGTGTCTTGGTGGCATGGGGTTTGCTCCCGTGGCGCGGGGCCTTCTGTTCCTGTGCTGCAGGCTCTGCGCTTGAGTTTTCACTACTGCTCCCTTGTGCCAGAGGTCACTGAATGGCACTATTTGATGGTGACTGGGTCTATAGTGAAATCCAAGATGCTGGAGAATGCATTGCAAGTCATCCCAAAGGGAGAACTTTAAAGGGCCCAAACTTACGCTTAGGCTTCTGAATTTTGACAGTTTATTTTACTCTGGCTGGCAGGACCTGAGTTTCTGTTTCAGATGCTGGAACTACCTTGTTATACCTACATGTACCTGTCTTGACTTCCTTGCAGGGTTGCCGAATTGACTTCCTAAAGGGTGTGTTGTTTTTCCTTTGACTTAGGTTTATAACAAGATTGACCAGATATCTATGGAGGAAGTAGATCGTCTTGCTCGGAGACCCCACAGTGTTGTAATCAGGTAGGAGCCTGTCACGCTGCCTGATGTGCTGGCTCTGATGGTGTGGTGGTTCATTTCCCACCCCTTTCTCCAGTGTCACCCAAGAAGGGACTTCTCCCAGGGCTGCCTGCAGCTGCTGGGGTGAGAAGTAGAGCTGCTGTGCAGCTTTCTCCGGGCTTCCCTCCCCTGGAGAGTCCAGCTGCTTGGCTTCTCCACACTGTCTGCAGGCCAGAGTAAGCCAGTCTAGCTTGTTTCCTTAGAAGTGCTGATACATCTGACTGGGGCTTTGCTGCTTCAAAGCTGCTTGCCCTCCTGAAAGGGTTATTTATTTCACCTTGTCTTTCCTTTACTGGCCTCATTAAAGACTTTTCCCCTTGTTCTCTAGCGCTTTAATAAGACGTTTCACCTTGTTCTTCTGGATCTCTAAATCACAACAGCAGTAAACATGGAGATGTTCCTGGTGTTTTGCAGCTGTGGCATGAAACTGAACCTGGACTACTTGCTGGAGAAGCTCTGGGAATACCTGGCACTTACCTGCATCTACACCAAGAAACGAGGACGTAAGTGACCATTAGCTAAAGAGAAGGTTTGAAAGGCATAGAGGGCTGCTGCTCATCAAAGGCAGACAGGCTGCCAGCGGGGTTGGGTGCCTGGCTGTCAGTGATCTCTTGTGTCTTGGAAATGCTGTGATTATGCTCTCCCTAACCAGCTTTCAGGTCTTGGGAAGTGCTTTCTGTTCCGTGTGATCCACCCGTGCGTGTCTCCCACCACAGCCCTCCTATTCTCTCTGTGCTAGAAGAGCTGAATTTTCATAAGACTTTGCATGATGATATAAGGAAATAAAGTTTGCCTGGCTGTCAGTGATCTCTTGTGTCTTGGAAATGCTGTGATTATGCTCTCCCTAACCAGCTTTCAGGTCTTGGGAAGTGCTTTCTGTTCCGTGTGATCCACCCGTGCGTGTCTCCCACCACAGCCCTCCTATTCTCTCTGTGCTAGAAGAGCTGAATTTTCATAAGACTTTGCATGATGATATAAGGAAATAAAGTTTGCAGCTTTCTTCATTATTATGTATGCTCTGTGATGAACTGTTCAGCCCATCACTACCCAGAAGAGGTCTTCTGTTCCTCCTGCTGAGAGAGGTTTGGTGATTCCCATGCCAGGCTCCCGAGGCTCAGGAGTGCCTTTGATCCTCCTTTTGCTTTGTAATTCACTTGCAGCTTCTCCCAGTGATGAAGACATGTCAGTAACTTGTGCCTGTTTGGTTGTGAACAGCTGTGACTCTGAACTTGGGTGGATGTGAGGCGATTAAGGAACTTTCTATGAGCTTGTTAAGCTGTGAAATCTTGGGGATTTTACAGAAAACTATGGAGTGGTTTGGTTTTACTTGAGCAGGTGTGTTTTGACTTGAGTGGTTTTGTTTGTCCTAAGTTAAGTATTTGGAATGTAGTTGGAGCAGGTGGATTGTGAGGAAGCTGTTGACTGTGTGACATTGTTAACTGTACTTGTGGGTATGGAGCGTCTACAGAACTGATTCAATGCTTTCAAGTATTCGGATACCTGCTCTGGGAGCTGGCAAGTGTAATGGGAGGAGGAATTCGGGAGTAGTAAGGACAAGGCAGTGTGAGATGGTGTCAGCATATTAGAACACACTTGATGGAAATACATCTTTTTTTTTTTTTTTTTTTTCCTCCTTCCTGCTTCTCCACAGAGAGACCAGACTTTACAGATGCCATTATTCTACGGAAAGGAGCCTCTGTGGAGCATGTGGTAACTTCTCTGCATCTTTTACATTTCCTTGTCTGTAGAAGGCAGGTTCCTCCTGGAGCCTGCTATGATTTGTGTTTTGTAAAGCTCAGGACCTGTCAGTGTTTACTTGGGCTTCTCCTTTTGTTACCTTTACTGATTCCATCTGCCTTGGGTTGCTTTCCTAGCTGCTATGAAAGCTTAAAAAAAATTTACGTAATGCAGTCCAGTGAAAAAGCACATGGAAGCAGTGGGGCTTTATGTGGTGATTTCTGTGTGTCTGTTCTGTATTCTTTCGAGTGCTGTTAACTGGCTCCAAAGTCACTATTGTAATTTCTGACATAGACCTGAGTCACTTCTAGTTCCTGGATATTGAGCAAGTTGTTTGCAAAGTAGTGTCGTTGAACTGCCTCACGTGCTGTCTGTCTGTCTTGCAGTGCCATCGAATTCATAGATCGTTAGCCAGCCAGTTCAAATATGCCTTGGTGTGGGTAAGTGTTTAACAGCAAATGAAATACCTGTCCCTGAGTGTCTCTGACTGGTCTTCTCCTAACCCTTCTCCCCCTTTTGCTTTAAAGGGGACAAGCACAAAATACAGCCCTCAAAGAGTGGGCTTAACCCATATGATGGAGCATGAAGATGTCATTCAGATTGTAAAGAAATAACCTTTTCTTTGCGGGTGCCTGGCCTTGTCTTTAATCACTAGAATTGGAACTGACCACGTAAAAGCAAAACAAAACAAAAAAAAAAGGAAAGAAAAAAAAAAAGAAAAAGAAAAAGGGAGAACGTGTCCACAGCCAAGAAAGCAAGAAAGCTTCCGTGAAGCTCCTTCTCTTGGAGAAAGGTAGAAAATGAGGCTACTGTATTTGCAGGTGGGGATGGGGAAGATGGGTTTCCATCTTGCAGCATTTCAGGTGAAGTAATGTTTCTTAAAAATAAAAAAGGAGTCAATTCTTCTAGGACACAGTTCCCACAGCCGGCAACGTCCTGCCCCTAGTAGGGTTTGCACATGGATCCATGTGCAAGCTACCGGTGGCTTGCTTAACCAGTGAGAGGTTTATGGGTTTGTGGAACAAATCTGTCCCTGTGCTTTGGGACAGGGAAGCCAGGGCTGAGAGAACATTGCTGATGCTTTGCTGCTTATCCACTCACTTAATTTAAGCATTGATCTGAAACAGAAACAAAGTTCTCCCTCCCCTGCTCGCTGGACACGTTGTCTCTGTAGCTTTCACCAATGGAGACTTCAGTATGCATCTGAGAACAACCCCTGGTGAATTTATAAGGTCCCACCTCAATTAACATGAAAAACATGGCACTCTGTGCCTCCCCTTAGCTCTGCGGTAGGGTTTGTAGGACATCCTGGTCCAGCTGGTACTGAGAGAGATGAGAAATGGAACGTTGTTAATGAATGCTTAACCTGACCAAGCTGCAGCAGGGTACGATCGGAGCCATAGTCTGCAGTGAGGATTCACTTCTGGTGTACCACTTGTCAAGGAGCTCTCTCTGGAGTTTCCTCCTTTGCTCTTGTCCTGCCCGTTAGTCCCCAGGAGTATTGCTGGGGATCTCCTTTCTCAGTCACGCCTCTAAATTCCAGTGACAGCTCTTTGAGCTCAAAGTACCATCCCACGCCATGGGTTTTACCCCAGCCCTGTTAAACATTGTTGCTTGTCTGGATATTTTTCATCAGAAAACTGGGATTTTTCTAATCATGCTTTTTCATTGAATACTGATGCTAAACAATTCAGAGTGCCTGATAGAGAACAGCTCTTGCCCTCTGGGATCAAGAGTTGCCAATAGCTTTTATTTTCTTTCATTGAAAAATGGTTCGGTCTGATGTGGATTCTTAACTGTGAGGACAGGTCTGATAACAAACTTGTCTGAGCAGGGCTCCTTCCCTCTCCTTTGTGCTCCTCCCCACCCCTCACAAACTGATCGAGCAGAAATGGAAGGATTATTTTATTTGAGAAAATAAAAGTTGCTATTTCATGTGAACTGTAGGTGTCTGCCTCCAGTGGGTAGATGGTTTGGTGTGTTTTCTCTCTTTTTTTTTTTACCTTCAGCCACCTGAGGAATCCTGGATGCTGTTGCAGGAGGCTGTAGGGGGGATTAGATTGTGAAGCGGCTGCAAGAGGGCTCTGAGGCTGGAGGGGACTTGATGAGCAGTGATGGGAGATAAATAGGTATTTTACACAATACCCAAGCTAAGAAGGTGACTTTGAACTCTGTAAGTTCGCTTCCCTGTTCCTGGCTTTGTTCACAGCAGGAGTGCAGAGCAAATCCGGACCGCGGTGGCAGCTAGCGGAGAATGAGCTCCAAATTAGCCGCATTATGCCTGAGCTGGCTGTAGAAAGCAGGCGCTTCTCTGTGTGAATTGGGTGGGATGCCGTTCCAGCACATTAACTTGCCCTTTAAATTTCCTTTGAAGGTTGCACAGGCAGGGTTGCCGGCACAAAGAGTTCTTTTGGTTTCATTTTGTCCTTGAGTTTCTTTTTCACTCCAAACCCAGGAGCCTGCCAAGCCCCGGCATGCAAACGGGCAGCCAGAACTGCTGACTGGGCTTCGTCCTTAGGCCAGGTAGTGCTTGGAGTTGGGGAGATGGGTGATGCTTGCATGAATGTTGAAATGCACGGTATTAGCTGCTAAAACATGTCCTTGGCTACTTAGTGCCCACCTCTCAGGGTGTTCAGGTTTCAAATTGACTGGTCTAGCATGCCAGCGTTAAAAACCCCTCTGTCTAATTAGCCTTACTCTTCATTTAGGAAATTGGGCATTTTATCCTGTTCAAAATGAACTGATACATGATTAAATTTGGAATGGGGCTGAAGTAAAAATAGTTAAGCCAGAAGAAGCTTCCTTTTTTAGTGAGAGTAGCTTTTTTTGCAAGCAAGTTTATAGCAGTGTTTGAAAACGCGTGCATTTAATTGCAGCGTTCATTCTTCCAGACAGCTTCCCTAATTGTTCTGCACTAACGTTAAAAGCTGCAAACATTGCAGTTCAGTGCAGGAGCAGGTTTGCATGAAGATCTCTCCGAATCCTGAGAAAACAAGGTCCTAAGGGCAGGGGGGAACATCTACTGGAGCATTAGTATTGTACCGGAGCTGCCTGAGGTTTGTGGAACTGGTCAGACCCCTCAATAGCTCTGGGGGGGGATTCAGCAAAGGGAGGTGTGCTCAGAGCCCCCTTGCTGAGTGTGTTTGGAGAAAGGCAGGTGCTGTCTCTGCCCAGGAGGATGGGGCGGGGGGGGGTTGCAGGCAGGAGCTGTGTGTTTGCCCCCCAAGGAGCAGCACGCTGTGTTTTCTCTGCCTTATGAGGGAAGGCTTGGCTGGATGATGCTTGGAGAAAGCCGCCTTGGCAGCCTGGCTGGCGGTCTGCTCTGCGCTGCAGCCCCCTGCCCTTCCTCTGCTCTTTTGGCTGACTCCGGTTTCATTAGCTCCGTACCCTGCTCCCGGGGGGCTGCACTGATCCTGCCCTGTCCCTGGGACCGCTTTGCTCGCTGAGCGTGGCCATGCATCGTTGCTGAGTGCTGCTCCAGGTGTGAAGCGGGGTGGATCGGCTTCGATACAGTCCATCAGCCACCCTCCATCTAGTCCTGGAAACAGCGGTGGCCCGAGGCGTGCTCTGTTTAAAATGCCTGTTCCAGGCAATCAAGCAGGTTTGATTGGCTGAACACTCCTTTTATAATTTAATTTAGTCAGGAATCGTTTGCAAGGTAATAAAAAGAGACTCTGACTCTAAATACATTCATTTAATTCAATGAGAGACAGTTACTGCAGCAGGCTTGCCTCAGCCAGCTTCCCTCACCCCATCACGCTGACATCTTAAAGCGCTGCTCAGGGCTGTATATAAGAGTCACGATCCGCAGTGACAGCTTAATTGTTTCAAATGCTGACAAGGGTCACCCCAACCAGCCATCGCGCATTGTGCGGGGCCGGCTCGGGAGGCTGCGGCGAGGAGGATTTATGGCTGGCAAATAGTTTTGAATTCCTCTGGTTGCGCCTGCTAAATGATGAACCTGCCCCTTGGGGATTGGGGCTATTGATTGTAATTTGCAGTTAAGCCCTCGCTTTCTGAGGAATCAGCATAATAAATACCCACCACATTACAGCAGGGACGTGTCTGTATGGAGGAGAAGGAAGCGGAGGTTTTCCCGGCTCAGGCAGTGCAGAGCCTGCAGCAGGATGCTCTCGATGCCGCTGCGTTTGGGAAGGCTCCATCGCTGCAGGAAAAGGGTCCCCAGTTTCGTGTGATGCGGGATCCCGGTGCTGGAGGGGGGAGGGAGAGGCTTGGAGGCTCTTTGGGCTGCTGATCTCGGGTGCTTTGTGAAGGCAGGTGGAAATGTCCTGCTCGTCCCCAGGAGGAGAGGGCGGTCTGGTACTGTCGGACGGTGGGTGTCTAGATCCCTTCTCTGTGCCCGGCCTGGGGAGCCGGTTCATCCCGGCTCTATTTGGAGAGGAGCGTGAGGGGGGGTGGTGTGTGTCCACCCCCACATCCCTGTGATTTCTCCTCCTAAACTTGCACTGGCTTGGGGGCAGGAATGGGTCAGGGCCGTTCACCAGCTGTTCACATCTGGGGTGGCGCAGATCTGCGTCCCGGGCGGAAAGGGGCTGCTGGCCCGCCCAGCCACATCACCGGGGAAAGAAGGGACGGGGACCGGGAGGGGGGCCAGAGCTGGCTGCCCTCACCCTTCCAGCCGCTCCCTCTCTGCCGCTCCCCAGCTCTGCAGAGGGAAGATTAGCTCTTGTCCCTCCGCTCATGAGTGGAGATGAGAATAATAGCAGTCATCAAATATG